GATATGTTAAGAAATTGTCTCTCTGTAAACCAAGAAGAGGGTCCTCACCAGGAACAGAATTGGCCAGCACTTTGAACTTGAACTTCCCAGACTTCGGAACAGTGAGGAATACATTTCTGTTAAGCTACATAGTCTCTGGTATTTTTGTTATAGCAGCTGGAGCTGTAACGAAAGACAATACCTTTTTACAGCCTTTAAGTAGATTTGAGTTTTTATCATTTTCATTGCATTGCTTTATTGCCTCCCTAAGATTGTATCTTACTCATTTTAGTTCAAAATGACAGTCCTAAATCTCCCAAACCACACATTTACAGATGATTTTTGGACTATTTATTTAAGTAGTTAATATTTATCCATTTTTATTATTAGTTTCACTATCAGAAATATCGACCTTAATTTGTGATTTCAGCTTACCTTGTTTCCATGTCCAAAAGAAAATATTTACCCCTAATATTAAAGAAATAGAACTTTTTGGATCTACTATAATTTTATTTTTGGAAGATGAAAGAAATTGTAACTCTGATTATTATCACCTGTGTTAACACAAGAATCCTTTAGTAAAGGACTTCATGCTTACATTTCTTAGACTAGTCTGTACCTCACAGCAAACAATTTGTTAAATGAGCACCCTTTAACTTTGTTCAAATATTTATCAGTTCTAAGGAATGTGCAAAATTGGGTATTCTCCTATTCTCATTTTGAAACTCAGCTTTAAGAAAATTATCTTTTCAGGGAGTTATATTCTAAAATAGTAAAAGTAAAGTAAAACTATGCCCTTCAGTAATTCTTGAAAATGAAAACTTTATTTTGATTACCATTATTTTCAGTCTGAGTCCCAACTAATCAATCCACAGATCCATAGGTTCAGTCCACAGGTTAATTCAATTCAAAAGTCATTATGGCAAAATGGGTCAGAGCCGCACAAAAGATTCTGGCAAAATAATCTGTGTGGCAGTGCATCCTTATCTAGCTCAGGTCCCATAGAAGTCATTCCCTACCGGTCCTTTCAACAAGACCAGCTACACAATTCTCAGGGCCCAGTGCAGATTCAAAATGTGTGACCTGGTAGGGTCCTTCTGATCTAGGGGCTTTGTACAAACAAAAGGTTGCATGCCTGTCAGTCTGAGTATTTACAAACTTAAAAATTAGCACTTTGGGGCGACGCCTGTAGCTCAAAGGAGTAGGGCGCCGGCTCCATATACCAGAGTTGGCAAGTTCAAACCCAGCTCCAGCCAAAAACTGCAAAAAAAAAAAATAAAGCACTTTTGTAATTAAATTGAATTTTCTCCTCAGGCAAAGTACACTCCCAATCAGTTTGGCTAAATCAGAGAAACAAAGGTTAAGAGAAGATTTGCCAGAAGTTATCAAACAGCAACTCTCGCCTTCATGGAGGGAAGAAAGGAGAAAACAGGACGCTGATGGCGCTCCCACCACATGTCGACCATTGGAGATTCCAAATGACTCTTGTTTAACTCCAACTACAAAGTAGGTGAAGTGGAAACGTTTGGGCAAAAGAGGGAAGACTTGAAATTATGCCCTAGTTTCTAAGGAACTGTAGAGTTAACGAAAACCACGAACTAAGTGAAGCCAGACCTCAGGTCTACTAATGCCAAGGCTTCTTCCCATCTTCTCTGACAAGATTCTGGGAGCTCGCTGCAGGGGGATTCCAGACTTTGGGAACCTCGTCCAACTTCAAAGGCCCTTGGCGTTGAACCTGACGCACGCGCACTGACAGAAAACACAGGCAAAGCCAGGGCGGGAGGAGCCGCCCCCTCCCCGGCCGGAGAGCAAGGGGGCGGGGCCGTCGGCGCCCGGTTAGGACCCAGAGTGGGCGAATTCTGGGGGCGGGTCCTCGTGTGGGCGGGGCCTCACCGAAGGCCCGGCAGCCATATTGCGGCCCCGCCTTTCACTTCAGACTACTTTTTCCGGCTACGCTCTTGCGGCCGCCGAGGTAAGAGTTAACCTAGGCTCGGGCCCCCGGATACCCTTGGCTTTCCTGAGTCTGCAGCTGCGGCTTCGCGGGGCCTGGTCCTGGGGGACTCCAGGCCTGCGGCGCAAATGTCCGCGAGCAAGAACGCGGAGACAGCGGCCCCGGGCCCAGAGCGCCGCCCAGATGTGGCAGGAGGCCCGGGACCTTGTCCCTAGGCGCGCGCGTCTTCCCTAATCCCTTTTCCCTGACCCGGCTTACAACAATGTGTAACCCGGGGCGCTCGTGTGTGCCGCGTCCCAGGGAAGCTCCGTTTATCTGGTGGCCGCTACATTCATGCAACTTTCCATTTTACAAAGACTTCACAGACCACAGTGCAAAGAGAACATTTTATTGAGAAAACGGGCCTCAGTGCATTTGTAGCGCCCAAGGCTCCTGATCCCGGGGACGTGGTTCGGCTGGTCGCGCTGGGCCCCGTTCCTGTCTGGGCCCGGGTCAGGAGCGCGCACTGGTAGTGCCGAGGGGAACCCGCGTGGTCCAAGTCCGGTGAAATCTGTTTGGGCTATAAAATGCTCTCTCAGAGCGCTCTAAGGGCGGAGGTCATTTCCTGTGGGGCTGTCCAGGCTTTGGTATTTTGTTTTGTTTTGGTTTTGAGTCTCCTTGCCCTGGGTAGAGTGCCTTGGTGTCATAGTTCACAGCAGCCTCAAACTCTGGGGCTCAAGTGGTCCTCTTGCCCCAGCCTCCAGTGTATCTGGGACTACAGGTTCCCGCCCGCCGCAGCTCCCACCTAGTTTTTTTTTTTTTTCTTCTTCTTTTTAGATACCTTGAAGGAGTGGGTACCAAGTTGCAGGGGAGATAATAGCTCCCATGTGTGTGCATGTCATAGCAAGCGTATTCTAAGCACTGGTGAATTAACTCATTTAGTTCCTAGAACAACTATCAAATTGACAGTCTAATATCCCTAATTTTGCAGAAGGGAAACAAGACCTAGATTAAATAGCTTACCCAAAGTCTTGGGTAAGCTTATGTGGTCATAAGTGGTGAAGCCAGAATTTGAACCTCCAGATCCTGCTCCAAAACAACTATACCTTGGCATTGAATAAACTCACCGATGGAAACATCCAAGCCATCCTAGAATTATAGGTAATTGGGTTTGACCAAATTAAGTAATGGAAGTAAGACCAGAAAAATAGTGTGGGACTAGAAAATAGGTAATTTTTAGAGCCAAATGAAGGTGTTTGGAGTTAACAGATGCTATTTCTAATCTGGATGAGAAATTCCTGTGCACACAAGCCATGTGATTTTTTAGGAAAAGAGACAGTGCTTAGCACAACAGGTAAAATGTGACCAAGGCATATATGGAGTTTTATTCATCCTTATCTTTTTGTTGAGGACCCTTTGTATTTTTAGTTTTAAGAGTAACACATTAAGGGCAGAGCCTGTGGCTCAAGGAGTAGGGCACTGAGCCCCCAAAACCGGGGGTGGTGGGTTCAAGCCTGGCCCTGGCCAAAATTGAAAAAAAAAAAAAAAGGCAACATTAACTACCATGTGAGTTGTGTATAACTTACATTATTTTTGAGCCTGGGCCTTCAGGAAGCATGTATTAACTCACAGGTCATCTTGACCTATCTTGATCTAATAATAAAACACTGGGTCCAAGGAAAAAAGTTAATTTTTTCTAGTGTGGCAGTCAGTGTGTTAACCACATTGTTTTGCATTTAGGTGACTTGCTAGTTCTTGTCTACTGGCCTAACAGCAAGAAGAATTAGGTCTCTATACCTACAAGAGCCAGGTGATCAAGTATTTTTCATCTATTTAATATGGATTAGCTAACTGTTTTTAAAAATGATTAACAGAATATACTTAACACTGCTGAAATATATACTTAGAAATAGTAAAGATAGTAAATATTGTGTTTTCACCACAATTTTTTAAAAATAAAAATGACTTAACAATTTCTCGTTGGCCATGTTAGGTCTGAAGATGAACTCTTTATAGGGATCCATTCAGCAGTAAATTAAGTGGATTAAAACCTTGAGTTTCTTTCTATACAGGACTGAATGTAGTGAGACATGTTAGAAAGAAAACGTAGGAGGCTAAAAATTTCTTATTTATATAATTAGGATGACGACGACAGTGGGAATTCAAACAAAAGGTAACTGAGATATCTCAAATGTTGATTAGGCAAGACAGCATGGGTCTGGAGAAGGGAAGCCAAGGGGACAAAAAAAATGGCCTGAAGGTGAGAGAAAGGTCAATTTTAGATGTGTTTAATCTTAATATCTCTGTAGAGGGATGCAGTGAGGAACTTTAATTTCGGGACACTAATATTTGAGAAAGAATCTGCTGTAGAAATGCAGATTCAAATTTTACCCAGAAAATGTACCTGAAACGTAGGAAATGAAATTTAGGGGAGAGAGTGCATGAAGAGAAAAGGAAAGGGCGATGATAGGAGACTGAGTGGAGAGGAATGACCCTGATTCTGAGTTTGCATGAGAGAACATGGGAACATAAACTGGTGTTCACCAGTGCTAACCTGCATTGCAGTCTCGATTTGGGGGGAGAACAGTCAGGCTGTAAGAGCCAGTGGAGCTGGACACACTGAAAAGAAGAAATAGATCACATTCTAAGGAGTCTGAGAGAAGGGGAACAAAAAACAGAACAGATACAAAGAAAACTTGTGAGGTTGGTGTGAAGGAGGAAGAAAATGGGTAATGACACAAAGAACTCAAATTTCTGGAGGTGGGTGACATTTGGCTTCAATAAGTAAAGAGAAGAACAGAAAGATTTGGCCTCTGGGGGAATGGATGCTTTCTGAGTACGGATGACTGACTTTCTGTAATGGTTTCCACCTGATGGCTGGGCATGTATCATGCAGTGGGAGAACTTTTCTTCTCCAAAGAACATTGACGTTTACTAACTTCGTTGAAAATTATGTAACTCCGAATGGCACTATGACATTGGGGGTTTTTTGTGTTTTATTTGGGGGTGGAGGGTGGGTATTGTTTTGTTTTTTGGTATTCTATTTGTATAATACTCTGTCACTTCATTTCTTCCCCAAAATCTGTTTCAGAACTTCTAGGGCATAAACAAAACATCTATCAAATGACACATGATACGTGTTTATAGTACTATGTAAGTTTCCTTATGTCCATTTTTTTTTTTTTACTAAATATGAACATATCAGTCACTTCAGCCTCATTCATAAGCCCAGTTTTCTCAGCATGTCCTTTCTAATTAGTCAGACCAGTAGTCCTTCAGTCCTCATCTCTTTCCCCTCTGTGTCCTCCCCACATCACAAGTTTGTTAAAACTCTTGGCCAAATAGATTGTCATCATCTACTTTTCTAGTCTCTCACTCCTGTTTTATTTATTGTCAACAATTGACTAGTTCTCATACTTCTGAATTACACTGGGAAACCATTTTTTATTAAGAAAAGAAAGCACAGCTTTCTTCATAATATTTTTACTCTAGCAAAGGTTTTTGACTGAGCACCAGGCCTGGTGGCAAAATAGGCATTAAGAAAATTAGATTAGGCTCGGCGCCTGTGGCTCAAACGGCTAGGGCGCCAGCCACATACACCCAAGGTGGTGGGTTCAAATCCAGCCCGGGCCCACCAAACAACAATGACAGCTGCAACCAAAAAAAATGGCCAGGCGTTGCGGCAGGCGCCTGTGGTCCCAGCTACTTGGGAGGCAGAGGCAGGAGACTCGCTTGAGCCCAGGAGTGGGAGGTTGCTGTGAGCTGAGATGCCACAGCACTCTACCCGGGGGGACAGCTTGAGGCTCTGTCTCAAAAAAAAAAAAAAAAAAAAGAAAATTAGATTAAGGATAGGGTGAAGTGTAGATAATCACCTACTTCAAAAGAAGAAAATGTCTCAATTGAGAATGTGTGTGTATATAACCTCTGTATAACCTTTGCTCTGGAAAGTACATCCCATTTGTAAACCTTTTGGACTGTACGGATCATCTGCCCTTTGGTTTGGTACAGCTGAAAAAGCAGGTAGCAATTGGACAGGTTTTCTTTATCTGTTGTTGAAAGCTGAATGAAAAAATCGAAAAGCTTGGTTTATTACATTTGTTAACTTTCACACAGAAAATTTTTATTGGGAAATGTAACTACTTAGTGTATCATAATCAGATATCACAGTATAGCTAGTTCTTAGCTTATGTTATATTTTTTGTTAAGCTTAGCA